CCCCCCCCCCCCCCGCACGCTCGGTGCGGAGAACAGCCAAAAATAAGCTGTGACCCCCCCCAGTGAGGGCGCTGGAGGCCGCCGCCCCGCCCCCGCCGCAGACGCGCAGTTCGCCTCTGTTTACACCTTGGCCCTGGTTTGGGCCGAGAACAATGCGTGGGGGAGGGGTAAGGGGGGCTCATTCCCAACTCCACTCCCTTTGTGGGGGGCCCTGTTGCCCCTCTTGGCTGAGATGGGGGGCAAGGCCTGGACTGGCATGGAACTTGCCTGCCTAGCTGAGGGGTATCCAGCCTCAGAGCCATGGGCCTGGCAGGGAGGATGCTTGCTCATGCTAGAGCCAGACAGATTTGAACCCTTGGGCTCTGCTCTATCCAGTTCTGGGACCTCAGCTCTTGGGCTTTGCCCAGTTGAATCTGGAATGGATTTGGCCTTGAACAAGGGAAAAATAAATAAATGTGCCTTGGCAGGCTGCGGAACTGGGCCGCTGGTGGCGCTGCGGGGTGGAGCACGGGGGCTCCTTGGGTGCAGGGAGGCCCTTTTGCTGCTTCTCTATGTGCGGCTCCAGGCTGCGGCTCTGTCATGGGCTGCAAACCTGGAGGAGGGGGGAGGGGTAAGAACTGGAGCATTTCTGTGATGTGCAACTATTTAAGCCTGGCATCTGCTCTTCTTCTCTGTGGCTGTGGGGTTGAGGGGAAATAATCTTCAGCCCTGGGGGGAGGGGGTGAAGAGAGATTTGGAAATTCAGAGACAGCAATGTCTTTTGTGTATTTGCAGTGCCTACTAGCACCCCTACCGTTCATATTGTCTTGTGGATTAAGTTCTAGGCTCATCTCAGGTGAATTTTGGCCTTTTTAAAAAACTTTTAACTTATATGACTTGCTGTTCGCATGGGTAAGCAGCCCTGCCTGAGAAGCACAGTAGCCACAGATGATCCTAGTAAACCAGCTGTCAGCACTTTTTCCTTGTCTATGATTTACACTGTGGGCTGTTTTAAAAGCAGGATTGTTAGGGTTGTAAAGCCAAGTTCTTAAAAGTAAAGGAATTTTGCATTTTATGAATGCTTATATAGCCGTAACTTGGTCTCCTTCCCCCACACCTCCTTTAGGATTTTGCCATCTACATTTGAGTGTGTTGTGTAGCCTTAACTCGACCTCCTTGTACACCGTAAGAAAGTAATGAAGCACTAATTGCACCTTTTGTACAGGTCATACATAGATTGCTTGTGGGCATAAGTAGGGTAACCATATTATTGTTGAGGAAATCTGAGATGGGGTGCCAGCATGTACACACAGTCCAGTCCCCCCACTCTGACCATCAAGGCTTCTGGGAAAAGCATGGCAGGATGGAGCGGCCCACGGCCAGGTTCCATCCTCTGTGCGTAGAGGCCAGACCTGACTGGAGCAGCCCTTCTTCCCCCTGCCACCGTTAGTTGCCAGGGTCTGCTATAAGCAGTCTGGGCCTTGACTGTTGGTGCGGCAGCAGGGCAACAAGCTGCTGGTGACAGGCAGCTATTCCAGCTCACCTCATGCGGGTGCCCAAGCTTGCTCCCTGTCCCAGCCCAGCCTCCCCTGCTCCACTCTGTCCTGGCTGATCCCTGCCCCAGCAGGAGCCGGGCTGGGCACTAAAGGCAGCAGCAGCCTCTGCCTGTAGCAGCTGAATCTGGGACTGTTGCTTCAGTTTACGCCAATCAGCCAAGACTACACAATCCAGGTCATATGGTAACTCTAGGCATAAGTGGAGATTGTGTAAAAAAGTTGCTGGTGGAACCCTTGTGGTATATTGTAGAAGTTGGAATATATATAGTGAATGTGGTGGTAGATTGGCTGATGAGAAAGGATGATGTGGGGTTTGATAATTGAATGTTGCTTGACACAACTGCATTTTATCCTGTCATTGTCACTGAATATCCAGTCTCCCTGTCTAGGTAATTCCAGTTCTTTCCTCTTTGTCGGATCTTTCTCTGCCCTTCTCAACATCAGTTCCCAACCCCCTGCTCCTTCCCAGCATTCTTTATCCAGTTTATTTTCCCTCTTGTCTTTCTCTAGCTTTATGTGCTAGTTTTTGCCCATTCTCCTAGCTCTTTGCCAGACATGACATTTCTATTCCCACTAATTCTAGTCTTGGTCTCCCTTTCAATCCAAGTGTTCTTTCTAGAGGTTCACCTATATATATTGGTCTATATTGGATCAGCACCGATAAAAGGAAGATTATCATAATCAGTAATTGGATATTTTTTGGCTGGTGTAGCTAATAATGTCAGTGATAAATGCCTGTGCATGCCTGCAGTTGCAGCACGCGTGCAGCCAGGAATGCTGCTGGGCAGCTTGGAGAGCAGCATCTGGCCAGTAGTTCTGTGGGGCAGAAGGGGCATGGTGGGACAGATTGAGGCCCCCACAGTGAGGAAGAGAGTGGGGCAGGTGCTGCCCAACTGGAGCAGAGCACGGGGTGGAGCTGTGGGAGGCTCATCTGGGTTGTGGGGAAGGGGAACGCATTCCTGCCACTGCGCACATCCGTGGGGGAGGTATGGGGCACATGTGCCCTCCCAGATTTGTGCGCAGGCTGCAGGCTTGGGGTCAGGAGCTGTGCTGTCCTTTTCCTGGTGGGGGGGGGGCTATGCTCATAATGGGTGGGGTGGGCAGCAGGGCTGGGAGGGGGCACTATGGGGAATTTTGGGGTGGCTGTAGCCCCCTTTTGCCCCCCGTTGTCACTGTGCCCATTTTTCCCGAGTGTAGCCCTGGCCCAGTCACCCTGCTGAGCAGAGGCTAGTGCAGCCCCTCATCCCAAGCCCACAACAGGCAGCTCACCCTTGCCCCTCACAAATCTGGGGGTGGCACATGTCCCCCATGCCTCCCCCAGGGGGTGCACATGGCAGTAGGAAGCAGCCCACAGCTCTGTCTTGTGCACCTATACCTGCCCCACTCCCACCCTTACCCTGGGACCCTTGATCTGCTCTCCCCCGCAGACTTACTGGCCAGATGCTGGCCTCGAAGTTGCTGGGCTGCATGTCGTAATTGGATCTGTATCAGCTGATATGGCTACTTAATAATTGGCTGTTGGTCTTGGCCAAAAAATCTTTATTGGTGCACCCCTAGTTCTTTCTTTTAGCTAGTCCCAATTTGTCTCTTGTCCTCAAGACCCTGTCTGGTCTATTGCTTTCCCTCCCCCTGGTTGGGATTTTGTCATTTACATTTGAATCAGAGATGCCTGGAGGTAGAAGAAGGGTCATCAATAGACAGGATTTATGCTGTCAGTTTCAGTGGTGAATCCCACCGGGGTCCAGAGAAGCTATTACCAGGGAAATTGGACTTTGTTGCTGTAGTTCTGGATCGGGGCACGATCATTGTTCTGAGGGGTGGTGAACATGCAGTCTGGTCAGCAGTTAAAAACAGACAGGTTTCTACTGAGCTTTCATGACCTGTGGAGTACGCATCCCTTTCTAGTTGTGACCATTGCACCTTCTTCTGTCAGTGCCTGATGCGACTTTCATTAAACTTCTATTTGAGATCAGCAGATCTAGAGAATTGTCTTCTGATATACCTTCAGTATTCATCTAATTTTGTTGTTCCTTCTGCCTTTTATCTCATTGTGGTACTTTTCCTTCTTAGAAGCTTTACGAGTAATTGTCTCACTTTTTATAAGTGTTTTATTGTGGTGGTAGTCATGTTCTGTTTACATTACAGTGAGGAGTATAAATACATCTGCTATTTCTGCAGGGCTTTCGTGCACGTCAGTGAGAATTTGTGTATTTCAGACTCTTCAGAGAAGTGCTGATATTTGCTGCATTGTACAGGGAAATATAGTTGTTCTTTTGAGACTCTAAGAAGGGATACCTTTATCCCTGATGATATAGTGTGGAGCATTTTTTCATTGTGTTCGTTGTACTGGGAGCCATCAGAAGCATTTTGAATAGTAGTTTTAGGAGTAATGAAGGGTATTTTATCAGAAGGCTTTACCTGAGAATTGCAGGGCTTCTGTTACAGAAATAGCAACGATATGTAAACTGGTATTTTGAAGCATTGATGAGAATACTTACGATTAATCTTCCTTTTATTAAAAGGAAAAGTATACATTGTGCAGTTTATAGAGATTAGCTAATTATCAAGGACATAGATGATAGGTTTTATAGATGATAGGTTGGTTTGTTTAGGAATCACTCCATCTATAAAAGTTTCAATGTGCATAGATCAGAATGGGTTTACAAATAATCATTAGAATTTGGAAGCAGTGTCTAGGAAAGTATTGTGTCTGCCTTGCATACACTGTGTATGGGGGTGGGGTGGGGGTTGCACACTTTATATTTAGAAGTATCATGCCAAAACCATGAACACTTTATTATACAAAACTGTGTTGTACCTAATTGTGGACAGAGTGCAACTTTTGTAGCTTTCTCAAAGCAGTTCTTAATAAAAAAAATAAATAAATAAAAGGAAGGAGAAAGAAGAAACATATGTACACAGGAGTCTACACTGCTAAAATAGTTTAGAGATGACATCAAGAGTCACCATGGTAACTCTCAGGCTGCATTCCGGTGTTCTTTTGGGTGGAGGAATTCTAGAATGGGGAGGTGACCTTGTGACAGGAATAAACTTACTCCACTTGGAAGTT